TTAATTGTTACATTCGTGTAAAAATCTGGATATTTACGTACCTAAAATACTAACAAGTGGCATCAGAGCGGGTCGCTTAATTTAATAAGTGTGATTCTGTCTTGATAGGTACTCATGGAGTTCACCGGAACTTCACTTTTTCGGCCTCCGATTCTCGATGGCTCAAATTACACCATTTGGAAGATGCGTATGACGTCCTACATTAAATCCATTGATGGACGTGCTTGGTTATCTGTACTTACTGGATGGGAGCCTCCTACCAAAGAAGTTGAAGGGGTGAAACACGAGAAAAATGAAGTTGAATATAGTACGGGTGAGAGCTCGTCGGCCAACTTCAATTCAAAAGCTCTCAATGCAATTTTTGGCACGGTCGATGAGAACATGTTTCGCTTAATTAGCACGTGCACTACTGCCAAAGATGCATGGGACACCTTGCAACGTCATTGTGAGGGTTCAAAGAGTGTTTGTCAAACGAGGCTGCGACTCCTTGCAGCAAAATTCGAGACAATTCGGATGCTCGAAAATGAGAATATCTCGTCATACACGGCCAAGTTGAAGAATATAGCGAACGAGTGCTACTCTCTTGGAGAACCGATCTCGAATGAAAAGCTTGTGGCGAAAGTAATGAGATCTCTTCCAAAGCGCTTCAACATGATGATCACGGCGCTTGATGTCTCGAAGGGTGTGACAACCATTATATTCGATGACCTTGTTGGCACTCTCAAGACGTTCGAGATGAATCTTGAGGTACAGGATCTTGAAGAAAAAAGTGCATCGTTCGGGAAAGGAAAAGGGATCGCCCTTCAGTCGGTCACTAAAGATGGTGATGACTTAGAGAATCTAGTTCGTGATATGAAGGAAAATGAGTTTGATGAAGAAGGAGTTGCACACATGACGAGACGCTTCACATCTTTGCTAAAGAGAAGAAATTCTCAAAATAACTCCCAAGCTTCGAGGTCCTGAGTGCCAAGGCCATTTACTCCACCTCATTCGAACCGATCGAATCCCACCGGTGAAAAGGTGAAACTCAACGATAGGAGAAAGTTCACCCCGAAGTCGCTCGAGACCGTCCAATGCAATGCTTGCAAAGGGTATGGGCACTATGCAAATGAGTGTGCTAATACCTTGCGCAAAAGAGGCTTGAACTTCAATGCCACTTTGAGCGATGATGAAGAATTTGATGACGGATCCGCTGAAAGTGAAGCTGAAAATGATGGGGATGCTGCCTTTGTTACCATTGTGAGCGAATTCAGGCCCAAACAAATTGATCCAGCAGGTGTCGCCCGAAGTGTCATGACACCTGGCAGGTATAAAAATGAAAATTCTGATTTTTTTTGTTTTAACTCCTTGTTTTATGATGCTTCAGGCAGGGATTTAGGTCCTCCGAGCAGCCTTCAATTTGTTAGGTTTAAAGATCATGAAGAAGTGTACGTGGAAGTTCATAAACGCTTTATAGATGCCGTATGGGAAGCGGATAGGCTTGAGAAGGAGAACAATAAGTTAAATGATGAGAATAAGAGAATGAAGTCAGAGGCTAAAAAGTTGGAAGAGGAGAACGATGCATTAAAGTCTACCATAACCCAATTGGAGGTGACCTTCTCTGGTCATGACCAAAAGTTGGTGAAGGTAAGAGAGGAACTTGAATACTCTCGTCAGACCTTCCAACGACTTAACACCGGTAAGAGCCAATTAGATGTCCTAGCTGCTCTTAAACATAATCATAAC